GTCAAACCTCTCTGGGCCTCAGTCTTCCACTTCTCTAAGAGGGGAATTAGGTTCCAGCATCTAAATGGCAGGGGACAAACACCCCTTCCACCACAGTGTGTGGTACGTGTGCATGTAAGCATCGCGGCAGGAGCCAGGAGGACGCCAGCACGCATCAAGACTCATGCCCTGCTGTCCTGCCCCGGCTCCTTTGGGCCTGTGGAGAGCAGGGACCTATACCTGACGTGCAGTCCAGCACAAGAGGCACCAGAGGCCAAGGGCAACAGCGTGCCTAGGAGCCTGCTCATCCCTCAGTTGGGGAAGGGTCAGCGGCAGGTGGCCAGGCCTGGGAAGCATCTCATGGTCCCACCCCAGAGGTTCGGGTGGAAAGGCACTAATAGTGATCCTAGACACTGGATTATGGAGAGCCCTGCACGGGACAGCCACACAACAGACTTGCCTGGCGTAGCCTGTCCTTCCTTCCATCCACCCACCATGCCACATTAATTTGTGGGGCATTTCAGAGTAAGTTGCAAACATCTATGCACCGCCCCACACATTCTGTGGCAGGCATTTCATTAATTAAAGGTCACGATTTGTTTTATTCATAAGCCTGTATTTGAAAAACTCCCAGGGGCCAGGCACCCACCCGTGGCTCACGCCTGTAATCCTAGCTACTTGGGAAGCCGAGATCAAGAGGATCAAAGTTCAAAGCCAGCCCAGGCAAATAGTCTGGGAGACCCCCCATCTCCAAAGTAACAAGCACAAAATGGACTGGAGGTGTTGCTCAAGCAGGAAAGCGCCTGCTTTGCAAGTGCCAAAAATGACCCAAACCAAAACAAACACAGCCTTCCGGAGAATTCTTCCCTGGTGATGATTTGGGATGTGGCTAGGAGCTGGCTCGCTGGTTTAAGACACTCACCTCTCACCTGGGAGCCTGATTATTGAAAGACACTTGGAGGGCCCCTCTGTTCCAGGTGAGGATTGGTCCCTGGTGGCACCTCTTACCAGCTGTGTGATGGTTCAGGACAGCTCATGTCACCTGTCCCAGCCTGTTTCCTCATCAAGGAAAACACCTATCTAGGGTTGTCATGAGGCTCCGCACGTGCAGTGGCTGGTGTGGAGCAGAACCATAGGAAGGGTTCAATAAATGACAGCTGCTGGCTGTCATGACAGATGGCGCCACGTGGATGCCCTTCGGGAATAGCCCCCTGTGCTGGGACTATTGCCACCTCCTTGCCACCAGGAGTGTTTGGAGGCCTGGGAACCGGTGAGTGGGCAGACAGAGTTGGTGCCAAGCCCACAATTCCTCCTGCTTCCCTTTGTCCTCCCGGGCAGAAGCAGGACAGCCCCTTCCAAAGGACGCCTGCACAGAGGGCTGCTTCTGGCCCAGGGTGGGCCGAGGGATTTTGGGGGGATTAGCTCTCCATAGAGCTGAGGCTCACCCAACGTGGATGTCAACAGACGCCAGCTCTTTTGGGACAGTAAACTAAGATGCTAAGTTCAAAACTCCTGACTCTGGTGAAACACTACAGCCCTTGGGCTGTAGCTTCAAGGAGCTGCCCTGGTGCCCCGAAGCAGAGCTCACAGTGCAGTTTGCAGGCTGACTGCTCAGCAAACAGCTAGCCCACCCGCAGAGGACTCTCAGGGGCCTGGGGTCAGTTTTTGTTTGTTTACTTTAGAATTTAATTTTTTTTTTTGAGACAGGGTCTCACTATGTATCCCAGGCTGACCTTGAATTTTTAATCCTACCTTACAAGTGCTGGAATTACAGACAGGCACCACCACATCCAGCCACCAACATCTTTTAAAGCCTGGAGACAAGACATTAGAATGACTCAAAAAAATCAGATCTGGCCACAGGACCCACATTCCAATGTGGCCACCATGGCTGGAGTGTGACTGGCCCAGATAACCACCTGCATTCCAGTTTGTCACTGCTACACCAGAGAGACCTGCTTGGTCACTGTTGGCTCTGAGGTGGAGCCTCCAGGCCTTGCTGGTGAGATGGACTGACTCAAGTATCCACGGTTTAAGACAGAGTACAAAGCTGAGCATGGTGGCAAGTGTCTATAATCCCAGCACTTGGGAAGCAGAGGCAGGGGATCTGGAGTTCAAGGCCAATTGGGGCTATATACTGAGACTGTCTCAAAAAAACAAACAAAAGACTGAGTGTAGCCAGTAGCTTAGGACACTGGTTTTCAGTGGGGACAATTTTAGCCCCCTGGGGACATTGTTGGTGTCTAAAAACATTTCTTGGTTGTTACAATTTGAGAAGGGAGCTGCTGTCATCCAGCCAGTGGGGGACAGGGACAGGGATCCCACAGTAAACCTAGGACAGCCACCTACAACAGGATCATTGTTAGAAAAGCTGTTCCCAAACAGTGATCAAAGAAACACTGAAAAGTGGCTCAGCAACGCAAAAAGAAAAGTTTTCCTTCTGCAGAAGGTGCAGCCACCGAGCAGAGTCAGACACAGAACACACTGAGCGGGGAGTCAGCTCAGTTTTTATCTCTTTGCCCCTCACCCTGGTGGACAGGTTTGGGTTCACAGTCTTCCCCATTGGCTAGCTATTGTTTGGGGTAAGGGCAAGGTTTTCCCATGCAGTGACATTTTTACAGCTCAGTGAGAAAGTGATTTCTCAAGATCCCCTGCAGATAGGGGAAGGAGGCTGACATTTTACTCATCAAGCAGTTTGAGATTAGGGCATCTGGCGGTAAACAGCTCTTTGACCTTGCAGGGTCAAGCAATGCTTCACAAAACGTGTTGGCAACAATTCGAGGAAGTTAGCTAGCATCTACACATTAATTCCTTCGACAGAAAAGACCTAACTTGAGTCCATTCTCACAGTCCCCCCCCCTTTTATTTACAGTTCTTTTCTTCAAACTTAGCTAGTATTAACTGACTTTTGGTCAAGCCCGACCATCCAGTTGCTCCCATCCTTATCATCCAGCCCAAAAAGTCAGCAGGAACAAGGCTGAGAAACCTCTGATTCAGGGGGCATCCGAAACCCAGCCTTAGAGCGACGGGCTGCATCCTGCTGTAGGCAGGGCACGGTGGCCAGCAGGAACTGGATGATGGAGCCAGGAGTCAATGGGGGAAGGCATGCCAGGACCAGGCGGAGGGCAGCACACACAAAGATCCAGAGGCATCTTTGATGGCGGGAGGGAGGTGGTGATCACGTGAGCAGTGACGTGGAGCCTGCGGTTCAAGCAAGATCAGATTCAGGGACAGATGGATTTTGGTTTGAGTTCTGGCCCTACCCTTAGCTAGCCATGTGGCCTCAGGCTTGTCATTGGCCTATGCCTCAGTTTCCTCCTCCATAAGGAGGCCGGACAGGCATAAATTGGCCCCACTCCTCCATTTCTGCCCTGTCCAGTCATTCTGAGGTAGTGGTGGCTTCGTTTTAAAGAGGTAACTGCCAGCACCAGTGTGGGGTATGCTGGGAGGGTGATCAGGCCAGGGGATCTGCCTCTTTACCCAAGTCCCTTCCCTGATATTTCTCTGGCCTTCAGATGCCTTGGGGAAGGCCAATGCAGGCCCCCAGGCATGAAGGGATAAGGTTCTTCCTGGTTATATCTCAACCTGGACCCTGGCTACTCTGCAGCACCCGACTGAGGTTAGAGGCCAAGAACCTCGTAGAGGCTGCCTCGCTTCTGCAAGCCTCAGTTTCCTCACTTGTGTAGAACAGGCTTCACAGGGCCTAGGGGCACGTGGGATCACGTGGGATAGCCCCTCCAAAGTTCTCAGAACAGAGCCTGGTCTGGGAGGTCTTAGATCCTTTATAAAGGCAATCTCTTCCTGAATAACCACAAATCCTGATCCAGTGAATCCAATCAGGACCAGTTTGTTGGGGATTTGGTGCAGCAGTTAGTAGAATTTACCAGGACAAACAAGTCCGGGGAGTAAGTTTATTAGGATACAGAGAAGCCGCAGGCAGCTGAGCACAGGGAGTGCAGCTACCGCTGTGCAGATATGAGGTTCGGGCAGGTGTGAAAGCAAAGCACAGGAGGGCAGGTGGCTCAAGAAGGAGCCCTGTGTGGATTTTAGTGATGGGGGTGGGGGTAGAGAGATGGGAGGGGCACCAATATTTAGGAAGGAAATGTCCTAGAATTTGATATGAAAGGTATACACAAAGATTTAGCTTTAAGTAGTCCATATCTATAAAGCGAACAATTCAAAATGAACTTAAAGTCCAACCGCAGGGTATTTTTCACGGTAAGACGCGTGGAAAATTATGCAGTTATTAAGAGGAAGCCGAGGGGCACTTATTGGTGTGGATAGATGTTCATTATTAAATGATAAACAATGCAAGTATTTGTATACCAAAAAATGTATGTACATATATTTTAAAACCTGTAAGTTATTGCACCCAAAAGTTAACAGTGGATACCTCTGAGCACTTTCTGCAACTTTTTTCTTATTCTAGGTTTTCCTTTTCTAAATTTTCTACAGCGAATGTGCATTTCTCTTGTGAAAAAACTGTGGTATTTAAATTTTAAATTCTTATTAAAATGTGATAGACAAAAGCAATAACGAAAGAAAGTTTAAAAATTATTTTATTGACATAATCATTACACATATTTACGGGAAACAGTGGATACCTGCACACTTTGTATAATTATCAAATGGCGCAATTAGCATATCCATCACCTCCTGTATTTACCATTTCCTGATTCGGTTCAGTAATCACTATTATTTACTGCGGTGTGACTAGAAATAATCGCATTCTCCGGGCGACGTGCATGCACGCCAGTACTGAGAGGCGTTGAAAGAGGGAGTTCTTTACCTCTTGCCTTCGCTCACCTACTTTTTCATTGCATCCACTCAATCCCAGTTTGGGGCGGGTAGTTACCTGACGTACGCATGCGCACTCCTGGCGGCTGGAGACGGCCTCTCGGCCCAGGCCCGCCTCCCGACGTTGCCTATTGGCGGGATCTTCCGGAGCGCTCCTCATTGGTGGCTACGGGCCAAGCCTCGCTGCCTATCAAAGTTGGCGGGAGAGCGGCTGGCTGAGCAGAATGGCGGCGACTGAAGACTCATTTGCGGCTGGCGGCCCGGCGGCGGTGCGGCTGCCGCGGTTGCCGCCGCTCAAGGTGCTGGCAGAGCAGCTGCGGCGCGACGTGGAGGGTGGCCCGGGCGCGTGGCGGCTGTCGCGGGCGGCGGCGGGCCGTGGACCGCTGGAGCTGGCAGCCGTATGGATGCAGGGCACCGTGGTGGCGGCGAGCGGTGGCGAGGCGCGACTGCGGGACCCGAGCGGGGCCTTCTCGGTGCGCGGCCTGGAGCGGGTGCCGCGTGGGCGGCCCTGCCTCGTCCCAGGTAACCCGGGGCCGAGCCGCGCCGTCGGAGGCGGGAGTTGAACCTGACCTTGGCACTCTGCGCCGGGCGGGGGCGGGGCGGCCCCTCCCCCCTCAGGGCCCCTCCCCTCCCCCACGTGTTTCTCGTGACCCGCTTTAAAATCTCGGGCTCCTGCTCCTCCCTCCCCCACCCCCACCCCCACCCTAGTCCTGACCGCTGGGCTTCTGTTATTTGTCGCCAGCGCCCTCCCCACAGGTGATTTTCACTTTCCCCTCTAGGGACCACAGTATTTCCCCACATCTGAACGTCCTTAAGGTCTCGATGCAAATGTAGGGTCCTCAGGGCAGGCCAGGGGACCGGGAGGAATGCGGAGGCCGGTCCCTCTCCTTCTGGACCTGGGGTAGGCTGCAGCACACTGATGTCTGCCTCTTGTCATGGACAGCTGGTGCTCAAACTGGACGAGCATCGGACTGGCCTGGAGGGTTGTGGAAGCCCAGAGGGCTGTGCCATCGCTACCCTGGCCACCCCTTGATGCAGGGCGGTGCTGGAGCTGTGTGGTTCTGACGACTTCATTTCCCGCATCTGGCCCAGTGCCCGACCTGTAGGTGCTTCAAGAGCCAGTTGTAAGCCAAGGGCACTGGGCACCCAGGATCTCATCCCATAATTCCTTGTAGTGTCCACTGAGCACAGGTGACACTCTAGGCCCCCTGTGAGGTGCTGGGCTGCGGTGAGACCCAAATAGGTAATACCTGCCAGGGAGCAAATTGGGAACAAGTTTCCCAGAGGAAGCCAGGTGCCAATGGCTCACCCCTAATCCTAACTGCTCAGGAGGCAGAAATCAGGAGGATCATGGTTTAGAGCCAGCCTGGGAAAGTAGTTCTTGAGACCCTATCTCAAAAAAACCAATCAGAAATAAGGGGGAGGTGGGCTGGAGGAGTGTCTCCAGGTGTAGGCCCTGAGTTCAAGCTCCAGTACCAGCCGATTGTTGATCACAGCATTGGTGCTAGGACCTTGTGAAGGCTCTGGAAGCCTAAAGAGTCAGGGCCTGCCTTCTCCACTGCTCCCTGCCCTGTGGAATCCGCCAAGGTCCCTCCACCCCTAGGGGCCTAGCTGTGCCTAGCGTTGGAGTGCGGGTGAGTCTTGGTTTCAAGCTAGAAGCAGGGCAGGTCAGTGGTTTGACCTGGGCTGCTTTTTCTCATAGATTCCCAGCCTTCCCCACCGAACTGGAACATTTTGTGTCTTTCTGTATTTGCTCTCCCTCAGCAAAAACTAGGCAATAATTTCTGTCTTCTGTGTGGGCTCAGTAAGTAAAAAATTACCCTGATCAGCACCTGGCTTGTTTTTTATTAGGACATGCTTGTGTTCCCTCCACTGTTCCTGCTCCTTGACAGCACAGGACTGGCAAAGTAGAGCCAATGCCTCTTTTCACATAGCGTGCAAACCAAAAACATGGTTTTTACATTTTTTTCTTCTTTTTTTTTTGCTGTACTGGTGTTTGAACTCAGGGCTTACACCTTGAGCCATTCCACCAGCCCTTTTTTGTAATGGGTTTTTTCAAGATAGGGTCTTTGAAACTGTATGTCCTGGTTGGCTTTGAACCGTGAGCCTCCTGATCTCTGCCTCCTGAGTAGCTAGGATTACAGGTGTGAGCCGCTGGTGCCTCGCCTTTTCTTTTTTTTTTTTTTTTTTTGCAGAGCTGGGTATTGAACCCAGGGCCTCACACACATGCTAAACAAGTGTTCTACCACTTGAACCACACCCCCAGCCCTGGTTTTCACATTTCTTAGTGACTGAAGAAAGTAATGAAAGTTAAAGTATATGAAATCCAAAAGTCATTGTCCATAAGTGAAGTTTTATTGTTGCACACTTGTAACTTACATAAGGCATAGGGTTGAAGTCCCACTCAACTCCAGAGGTGAGTAGTTGTGACAGAGCCAGTGGCCTGCAAAGCCTAAACTATTTACTAACTGGCCCTTTACAGAAAATCCTGCCCATAGCTTTGCCCTCATTCATAATCCCTGCTGCAAAGCAGAGTCCCTTGAAGGCAGTGGTCTGGCCTTGGGCAGTCCCCCAAGTCTGGTTCCTGGTGTTCACCATTAGGTGCCTCAGTGTTGGAGCAAATGGACATTGGTGAACTTGTCTGACTCACCCACTGGCCTGAGGGCAAGGGCCATGACATTTGTTGCTAATTAATACTAAATCTTGCTTTACAAAACCTACTCACTACCTCCAAGCCAGGAGGCAAGGACAGAAACAGGCCACTAGAACACAAAGTCCTATTGTAGGCATAAACATAGGGTACAAGGGGTGGGGGAGGACTCCTCTTTTTCTTTAAGGGGCTGCTCATGCTATCTGCCTCATAGAGCTGAGAATTATAGTCAATGTTTGTGAATCACTTAGAAAAAAGCATCAAGAATTAGTTGCTGCTGTGTGTTGGTACTGCCACTGCTAACTTCTCAGGTGGCCTTAGGCCTCCAGCTGCAAAGCATAGGAGGGTTGTTTTTTTCTTGTTCAGCTCTTTGGTCCACCTGGAGTTGACTTGGGGGTGGCAAGAACAGAAAGTGGCACAGAGGAGGGCCACCTGGTTGAGGCTTAAGGAACCAGGGAAGGCTTCCCGGAGGAGGCAGCCCTGCAGGATACATTGAAATTATCAGTAGGAACCAACCCTCCTGGATTGCTTGGGTCTGAGAGTGTGCTGGGATGCAGGATGCTCAGTGTTAGAACTGGGACAGTTGGTCACCCTGTGTTGGTGCAGTGGCAGGAGACGATCCAGCTCTGCAGGACATCATGTGCAAAGGCCAGGAGGCAGGGGAGGCTGGAGCAGCAGTGAAAGGCAGGTGGCTGGCTGTGGAAGGACTGCCTGCCTTCAGGTGGCCTTAATGCTCACAGCTGTGGAGTTGTCCCTCTCTGGAGCATCCAGCAGTTTCTTGCTGTAAAGGTCAAGTGCTGAAGGTGCAGGTGGGGTACTGGCCTCCAGCTGCTCCCAGCAGCAGGTAGAGCTGAGAAACTGCTTGCCCAGACTGCACTGAGGATTGCAGCAGGGGCAGGTGGATTGGGAGAGGGGGAAGCTGGAAGGAGGCCGGCAGGAGCCAGTGCACTGTTCATGGCAAGAGAGGATGAAGGTCACTGACGCTGTGGCTCAGTGATGGGGGTTTGCCCATCACATGTGAGGCCCTGGGTTCCATCACAGTACTGCAAAAGAAGAGAGAGGATGAAGGCTCTGGTGAGAGTCACGTGGAGAAGTTGAAGGGGACACTGGAGAGCTGCTTTGCAGAGGGAGAGGACATGGAGGCAGTGACCTGGACTGGTCACCAGGGTGTCACATCTGCCTCTGAGCTCTGCAGTCTTGGTGTGTGTGCCTTCTTAGCAGTTCTGTTAGCCTCGCCTAGGCTTTAGACGTGTTTTTTTTTTTTTTTTTTGGTGGGGGGGTCTGTATCCACCAGCACTGTGGGAATATTCACAGGGCTCAGCCAGCTTATTTGTAGAACTGGCCTTTACCACTGAGGAACCAGAGTTGAACGTGGACATGGATTCAGAGAAACCTAAGTGCACTGAGGTCGGGGTAGGGGAGCATGGGAGGCCAGGCAGCTTGTCTGGCTTCCTTAGCTGAAGCCCTGGCCACGTGCACACTCAGTCCCATGCTAGATGCAGAGTGTGCAGTGGGCTGGCAGCCCGCCTGCCCTTCCTGCTGTGTTTGGGTTTTTTTTTTTTTACACAGTTGCATTTTGTGTGGTTTGTGACTGGCCAAGCTGTGCTTTCAAGGAGAGTCACTTCCCCAAGGGAATGGAAGAGAGTCGTGGTTAATATGTCATTAGATCATTCCGGTGGCAGCCTGCCCTTCCATTGATTGGTTTGTGTGTGCCCAGTGGTGGCTGGGATGCAGCCAGAGGTGGCAGGAATCTCCGCCGCCACACTGCTGCAAGTGGACAATGGGGCCGTGTGTGGGGCAAGTGCTTATGCCTACCCAACTTTTTTGGCAGCATGGAGGAAGGAAAATTGGATTTGCTTTCCTGCTGTCAGGAAGTGGCTTTGCAGAAAGAGGACCCGTCCTGCGTGCAGAAACCAGGCACTTACTCTGGCACTGAGCAGGGAACAGGAATTAGAGGAAAGCTTGGGTTTTCTGCCCTCTCCCCGCCCCCACCCTCGGGCCATGTGTCTAATTATAACTCACGGTGCTGGGAGCCTTGCTTGCATTCCTTGGGTATGATTACATCGTGTATGACGATTTTGCTCGACATGCTAGAAACAGAAACCAAAGAACATACAGATGTCATCCTCCGGGCGAGTGTTCTCACTGCTAATACATGAACGAATTCTGAACACTGACTGCCTTTGTTTTGTGGCGGGACTGGGGATCAAACCCAGAGCCTCGCGCCTGCTAGGCACAGGCTCTGCCTCTGAGCTGTGCATCCAATCCTGGCTTTCTTTTATTTTTTTGTCTTCATCCTCCCTCAGAGGCCTCGCATTTCGGAGTTCTCTGCAGGCGCGCGGGTCTCATCATTTCGGCTTTTCTTCTCTTCCCAGGCAAGTATGTCATGGTAATGGGGGTGGTGCATGCCTGCAGCCCCGAGCCGTGCCTCCAGGCCGTGAAGCTGACGGATCTGTCAGGTAACCCTGTCCACCAGAGGATGTGGGAGCTGGAGGTGGAGGATTTGCACAGGAACATACCCTAGGTGGTGTCGGCGCCGTCCTGGAACACGCCGTCACGTGTTCTCATCACATGTGACTTTGCCGACGTCACTCAAGGTCTACTTCTCGAAGGGCCCTGGGACAATGGCTTTGGTGGACCCAGGGTCGGGTGCAGGACTTTCAAACGCTAGGCTCCTTCAGTTAACGCCGCCCCTGGCTTTGTGTTCCCTGCTACAAAGCAGATGCTGGGGGTTTTTCCCCCCTTTTCATGTATGTTCATTCCTGTCTCTAAGCAAACAGAAGTGTCACGCTGCATTTTCCAGGTTTTCCTCATGATGGTTCTTTCTCCGTTACCCCTGCGCCCTGTTCCACCGTGCACATTTTGAATCTGTCACTCCACACGGTGATTAAAGTGCGGTTACGGTACAGAGACTGAGTGAAAAAGGAATCCTTGTCTCCCCGTGTTCCCCACGACCATCCTCCACACCCAGGAGCAGCTCTTCACATGTGCAAATGAAGCTGCGTGCTTCCCGCACTCGGGGATGCTGAGCCATTTTCAGAATTTCTCCTAGAAATTAAAAAACCAACACTGAGAAGGACTTTCAGACATTAACTAAACTACACCACGGCTTTTGGCGAGACAGCGAGGGACCAGCCTGCTGGCGTCAAGTCCTACAGCCCTTTGCATGAAATGACGTCGTCTTGAACGTCCCTGATCTCCGCTGACTTGTCTTTAGACTGTAAATGCCAAGGCAGTCACATTTTATTCCAGTATGGCTGGGGGCTGGGCCTGGATTATTGATGTGCCACAGCAACTAAATTTCTACACAGTGTATCCTCCCTTCCGGATTTGTCCTGTTACTAACATCTTATTTGTTTGTTTTGAGCCATGTCTCAAAACAACAGCCTTGGCTATTGTACAGCCCAGGCTGGCCTCCAGCACAGTGATCTTCCTGCCTCCACCTCCCATTTGCTGAGATTATAGGCGTGTACTGCCACACCCAGCTATTACTAACATCTTTTATTGGTGTGACACATCACAATTGATGAGCAGACTATTACATTGAATGTCGCTTTGATATTCTATCAACTGAAGTCCATAGTTCATGTTCGGATTCATTCTCTCGTACATTCTATGGTTTTACCAATGCGGTCCACCATTGCAGTGTCAGACAACAGTCCCACAGCCCTAAAAGTCCTCTGCCCCCCGAATGCTGGTGAGCCCTGCCCTGACCTTTTTACTGTCGCTGTAGTTTAGCCTTTCCTGGATCGTCACAGAGTTGGGTCATACAGGACAGAGCTTAGACAGCCTGGCTGCTTTCGCTTACTGTGCACTTCAGGGTCCTCTGTGCCTTTTTGTTGATCTGTTTTGTTCTTGGTGGTACTGAGGCTTGAACTTGGGGCCTCACGCTTGCTGGACAGGTGTTCTACTCCATGCTGCTGCTGATACTAGTTTCTGACAGTCAGAAGTAGCCCTGCACCGGTTTTGTGTGGACGGGAGTTTTCAGCTTCTCGGGGGTGCATGCCTAAGAGTACAATCACTACTATCGTTTTGTAAGAAGCCATCGGGCTGTCTTCCTGAATGGTGATCCGTCTGCATTCTTACCAGCAAGGAGTTGCTTTTAACAGTTTTCTGTAAAGTTAGTGCTAATTGAAAAGTGGATGGATGGGTAGCGGTGCAGGGGAGGCGGCTCAAATAATGTATACACATGTAAGTAAATGTAAAAACAATAAATTTTTTTTAAAAAGTGGATTGTTTTTAGTATGGACCTGGTTTGTTGACTGCTTGAAATTTATTTTAAGCTGGTTTTTGTGCACAGTGCAGTTTTTCCAGGCAGAATAGCTGTGCGTCACTGGGAGCATTAGAGCCCTGAATTTGAGCTCTTTACCTATTGCTAAACTTGCTGTGTGACTCTGAACAAGTTACCTAACCTCTCTGGTCTTCTGTTTCCTTATTTCTATAATACAAACAATACACAGCTCATGGCGTTGAGGTGAGGAATCAAGATGTGTGAAGATCACTGTTATGTAATGTCTGGTATGTTGTAGGCACCAAATTATTGCTGCTGGGAAAAGCAGTGAGTTTTTGCTTGCATCCATCGGTTGCCTTTAAGTGTGTGTGTGTGCGCACGTGTGCATTTCTTTAGAAATATTTTGACCTACAGAAAAATTACAAAGACAGTGCAGGATTCCTGTATTCCTGCACCAAGCTTAATTAGTATAGCACATTTGTTACAATAAATGAACAAGTATCAAGCCGGGCACCAGTGGTTCATGCCTGTAATCCTAGCTACTCAGGAGGCAGAGAGCAGGAGGATGGCAGTTCAAAGTCAGCCCAGGCAAACAATTCCATAAGACCCTATCTTCAAAAAACCCTTTACGAGAAAGGGCTGGTGGAGTGGCTCAAACAGAGCGCCTGCCTAGCCAATGTGAGGCCCTGAGTTCAAACCCCAGTGCTGCGAAAAACAAAATACCCAAATACCACGATGTCATTGTGTTTTCTCTAATGACCTTTCTGTCCCAGGGCCCCATCTTGGACACCACATTCCATTTTTAGGCTCTCCCTGGCTGAGTCGGGGTTTCACTATGTAACCCAGGCTGACCTCAAACTTGTGACTCTCCTGCTTCCACTTCCCCAGCGCTGAGATTACAGGCGTGCACCACCATACCCAGTGTTGGTCAGGTTTTGATTGCATTGAAATTTAAACAAAATTTTTTTTTTCGGTGCTAGGGATGGAACCCAGGGCCTCATGCCTACTGGGCAAATGCTCTATAACAGCCATACCCCCCCCACACCCGCTTGAAACTGTTTTTCAGTGTAGACCCTGGGATCTCTCAGGATTCTTCCATTAAAACTTGGTCACAAAAATATTTTAGTTTTCCCCAGGAGTAGCCCTTGAGCTGGGTGTGTGGCACATGCCTGTCACCTCAGACCTTACCCTGAGGTCTGCCTTTCAGAGGTCCTCTTCTCTCAGATCTGCTTTTCTGCTGTCTAGAAAGAGCCTTCTGAGCCCCATCCTCCCTGCCCGTCCCCACCTGAGTCCTGAGGGGTAACAGATGGAACAATGCTGGCTGGTGTGACAGAGTTGTCTGGGCAGATCTCAGCAGTGTGTGGCAAGGGAAGGAGGGTGCTGTGTGTCTTTCCCACAGTACCCAAAAACAGGCCAGTGGCTGTGCTGGAAGCCTGCTGCCCCAGCCTGCTAGCAGAGCTGTGTGGTTTCTCTGAATATTCAGAACTCTCACTGTTTGGGCTCGCGTTTCCTCCCTGGCGTCCCCAAATGAAAACGCATCCGGAGACGGCTTCAGCTCTCTGTGCCAAATCAAAGTCAAGTTTATCAGCAAGCAGCCAGCCCACCAGCACCGCGGCCGACTTGTGTGCCAGGGCAGAGAACTTCCCTTCTGAGATGAGCCCTTTTCTAAGAACTGAAAATAAGCAAGCTAGGCTGTGACTTCACTTTTCTTGGAACTGCTTTACATTATAAAAAAAGAGATGAAACCCTCACTTAGCTGGTTTTGGTTTAGCTTGAGTTCCCTAATTCTTTCTGTTGCATGTTCTTATAAGCTGAAGATTTACCACAAGATTCGGCACCAGGTGGAGCAGGAGTGGGTGGGGAGGGATGGCCATGGGAAACAACTGAGTGTTTTGTTTCTTGGAGTATGATTCAGGGATTAAGAAGAAAAAGAACCTGGGAGAGACATTGAGCACGGTCACTTTCAAATTTTAAGGGTCACAGCCCTAACATCTGTCCAGCCTAGGGCTGGTGTTACTGACCCTTAGGCCACAGAGCAGCTAGCTGCCTGGTACAAGCCTAACTGAGAAGATGCTATTAGCCACAGTGACCTACATTTGGCAAATACCTTGGAGTCTGTGCACAGGGTCATTGTCAAGGGGACCCCTACCCGCTTGGGAGCCAGGGATGTTATCACACCCACACTGCAGCCCCAGGCCCGCCCTTTCCTGTCTGACTTTGAGCTTGGAGATCACCATGAAGTAGAAATCATGCTTCCTTCCCAGGATGATTGCTGGTAGGTTTTGGGAGGTGGGTTAATCACCCCTTCCAAGATGGGATTTCTGTAGATTGGTGAAGTTGTTCTGAAACTGTCAGCTGTATCTGTGGCCCTGTCTGGTACTTCTGTCTCTAGGGCCTTGCAAACACACACACAGTATCTGTGACACTGGCTGGGTTTAGGTTGGAAGGCAGGAAATACACAAAGTTCTTTACACTTGGCTCTTGGCAGTTTCAAATGAAATTTTTTTTGCGGGGGGGCAGTACTGGGGTTTGAACTCAGGGCCTCACGCTAGCTAGGCAGGCACTCTACTGCTTGAGCCTCAGCCCTTGCAGTTGCCTGAGGGAGTGCGTTGGAATGTTCGGGAATGCTCTGAGGTACAGACAGGGAAGACTTGGGAAAGACAGAGAAGGACGGAGGATGAGGAGACGAGGATCTGGAATGGCAGTCCTATCAGAGCGCTGCACCCAAGGTCCCTTGATAAAGTTTGCAGACTCCACAGGGCGTGCTGTGCCATTTTACTTCATGAAAACTGCAGTCCTGGGCAGGAAGGCCTTTGCAGAGATGGCTTGTGAGCCACTAGGTGCCCGCTTTGGGGACCCTGCTTTCCTGTGTGGCTGGAGCTTGGGTCTTCCCTGGTAGCAGGACAGGTCTGGGAGCTGCTCTGTTTACACGTGGGCGCTAGCACCCCCTGCTGGGCGGTCCTGGGCCACTTGGCTGACCTGAGCCCTGGGAAATGGGACAACAGCCAGTGACCAGAATGAAAAGCCACAGAATAAGGCAAAGGCACAGAATGGGGCCAGGAGAAGTTTCACAGCCATCCTCCCTGGGAGTTGTGCCTACCGTGGCCAGACCAGGGTAGGGGTGAGGATGACATCGGCTTTGGCAGACACATGAGTCCTGAGGGGCCTAAAGCTCAAGCCAGCCCCGTGTATCGACTGGGTGACCTTGGATGAGTGACATCGTCACTCTGAGCCATATTTCTTTCTTTTCTTTTCTTTTTTTTTTTTTTCAGTAGGACTGGGGTGTGAGCTCAGGGCTTTCGCAATTGCAAAGCAGCCACTCTACCACCCGAGCCACACCTTCAGCCCATTTTGCTCTGGTTATTTTGGAGATGGGATGAACTATTTGCCCAGGCTGGCCTCGAATCTCAATCCTCCCC